TAGAGAACTTTCTCAATTTCTTATCAAATTTTTCATTGTTAATGTAACAAAAAAGTTTTTCTTTAAAAATATGCAAGAATATCCTTGAATTTATAGCGTGATAATGGTTAATGGGACAAAATCATGCACGTGTTGGATAATTTATGTCCACTTTTTCGTTATCATAAAATTCCTTTTTTTGAAGAACATCCAAAAATTAAATATTTTTTAAATGAAACATCAGAAAAACTTAACTAATGGTGATTAGACATGAAATAGATATGAGGATTTCAGCACACGCATTAGAATTTAATTTGAGGAGAAATTATGACTGCGTAAATCACTGATGAAATAGCTAGCAGAGTTTTGTTATGGACATCGTTGGGGGTTGAAGTGGATTTTTTTGATGGGATTTCAGACTGTTGTTCTAATTTTGGATGATTAATTGTTGATAGTGGAATTATGTGTGGGTAGAGTTTATGTATTTTTTGAACTAGATGCTTTTAGCTGCTTTAGCTGAAGTATACGAAGGTAACCCCCTACTCCATTAAAATTGGGGCCGTTCATTTATTAAGTAACGCAAAAACCGACTTTTTTAAACTTCTCGCCTCTTGTCACAAAATTTGTACAAGGAAAGGTTTCTTTTGTTTGAACTGCCACAAAATTGTAGACCTCCCCCTTCCCCCTAGAAGCATTACGTAATAAGTGAACAACCTCATCCAAAAAACTACTAAAACTACAACACGTGTACACAAAGTTCACACGACTCTCCTTCCAAAAATAAAGCACAAACTCATAAATTTACCCAAACAAAATATTCCACCATAAGTTCCAAATTTCAGTTGACACACAAACCTCGATAGTATTTTAACTATCTAGCAAAAATTGTAAACTCTCTTCAAACGAGCATGTACAAGCAGTAGCAGGTAGATGTTTGTACGTGGCGAACATCAGGTTACGTGCTCCAATATAGCAAAACATTTTGTACATGACATATGAAATATTCTATAGAATAAACTTTAAAGACGAATATTTTGCAATATTTACATAATTAATTAGTTGAAGAATTTTGAGGAGGAATTTTAAAGAGATGGAGTTGAATGCTTATTTGAGGTTATTAAAGCTCTGTTTAATTGATGTAAGAATTTTACGATTTTCAATTTATTGATGATAAATTTTTTGATTATTTGAAAAGGTTGTGTCTAAATGATGGCCATCTTGGGGAGTTGTTTGAAGTTCAGTGTTGACCAAACTGTGTGCGGTGTCACATTGTTCCGCCGTAGAAATTTTTTGGAAATGACACAAGCCACATGCTGTGTGCGACTTTGTTCATTGCTCACACTTAGAGTGAAAATCATTGCTGTGGCTCAAAAAGTTTGAACAACATTGGTTTAGATGATCCAAAAATTTAATTTGAGATATACATCATTTATGAACGAACCCCAGCCCAAAAAAAAATAATTTGTAAATTTTCTATCAAAATTAATTTCATTATATTCAATCCAGCAAAATTGGACTACAAAATGCAACAAATCGTGTTAAATTCTTTCCAAAATTGAATAAAGCCCCTAAATTGACTGCAGCACTACTATCACATCCTATTTTACAATAAAACCAGAAAGTTGAACTTTAAATTGCTGCAACAGCACCTCGACAATCCCATCAAATTGAATTTCAAAGTTTTATCAAATGTACACCGACAAGAATGAAAAGAAACAGAAAAGTTCAAATTATCCTCATGAGTAATTTCAGCTTGCATAAGTTGATACATCTTTCATAGAGACATTCATTCATGTAATCTCATTCAGTCGATCGAGAAAGCAAGTCAAAGCAAATAAATTTTATTTGGTTTACAGTCAATTTCAATATTTTCAATTCTACTTTTTCTTTTCAATTCTCAGTTCATCCTCAGCACAATTTTTCTAATACATCAACATGTCTTTTGTGTGGAACGTCTGCTTATATTGTTGATATTTCAGCATTTATTTGTGCAAATTGAATATCAGTGTAATGATATGCATGGAATTAATGAAAAATCAGAAATTCAGTCGCAGGTGAACATACAATATTTGATTAAAAAGAAGCTCTCTGACTGCTGATTTTTTGTACATTACTTGCAGGATTTCGATGAGACGAATGAAAAGGTTTCAATTTTGACTTCTTTTTTTCTTGACTTGATTATTTTGTGAGCATGAATAAAGACTGATTAGAATGTGTCTGGGATTATTGGCTGACAGGGTTGCGAAATGCATCTACATCTCACTGACCCTGACCGAAAGGAGAACTTCCCTGGCTTAAAATGGCACCTACTGTTTGAAAAAAGCAGCTTGCTGATTGTGCCAGATAAAAGATTTCCTTTTTGATTCAAATCAAGTGTAAGGAACTGATTGAAATGATTAAAAATGATCAAAATGTGATTTATTAGTTCCGTACTCTTGATTTAAAGCATAGCTCAACCCGAGTCAACTCAGGAAAAATTGAGTCTATTTGAGTCAACTTCGAGCTCTAATTTAAAGCCGTCATTTGTATAGTTTCGTGTGGGATCACTGTCCATATTCCAGGCGCGTAACCAGGAGGATCTTGTCCCCCTTAAACATTTTGAATCGCAGTGAGAGCACGGCCTAAAACGCTCATAAGGGGGACAAGAGCCTCCTGGCTACACGCCTGCCATATTCCACTACCTCCAACCCTGAATCAACCATTTCATTTCATTCAACTTGAAAACCCTCCAATCCAAACAAATTGAGAGCAAAAAGGAAAATAGTCCAATGTACAGACATAAATGATGAGCAAGGAGTGAGTGAAAAAAGGGCAAAGTGCTTAAGACAGCATTTATTTCATTACAGTTTGCTTCTCTCTGATTGTTTGCACATCATCGTTGAAATTTATCTGGGTATTAAATGGATAGTTGTGATACTCATTTACATTTTAGAGAATTAAGTAACTTGGAGTGTAATTTTTGGGATGCCAGAAAAAGGGATGAAAATGGAAATTTTTTTTAAAAAAATTATTTCTGTTGATTAATCCGATTTGATGGGAAGAGGAAATGTAAACAATTTTATGAATATGAATTTGAAGCAAGACAGTTTGACATGAATATTATAAAACAATCAATATTTGTCAATTTGAATGAATATTTGAAAATTCATTACGCACATTTTCTGAATAATAAACAGACATAAAATCAATGCTGCATGAATTTTGCGAATATCAATCATAAACACACACAAAACTGAATGTTTGTCAATTTAATAAAGGATTTAGATTGAGGCTTAGAAGTGCTTAACTTTATCCCCTTTTTGAGTCTCTCTCGACAGCATGAGATGCTCAATTATTTTGCGATTTAAAATCTCATTAGAATTTATTCCATGTAGATTAACTCAATGAAAATTAATCAAAAGAATCCTCGCGGGCGCACTCAGCTCGAAAATTTTCTAATCAGTTCTTCTAAAACATCATTTCTCTTATGAGATTCAGTGCTTGATTAGGATAGAATGTGGAGGTTGGAGGTGGATTATTACTTTTGTGTGAAGGAATTATCGCTAATGACTTTCATGGTTTTATTACCTTTTTATTAATTCAATGTGGGTAGATTTGTGAGAAGGCTTTTAAGGCATGCCAATCTTCTAAGAAGTGGCGTTAAAAATAATTTGTGAATTTTTCTTATTTTCGCTAATTAAAATTGGATTTTTTTTTCTCCCTTAATTTGAATATTTTTGAATGTATTTTTTTTAAATTGATTTTTGAAGAGGATTAATGGAGTTATTCGTCAAAAATGGATCAGCATAGAAAGACCTACGGCATATGACTTTGATTTCCATGGTGCATCGCTCAGGTCTGCAAATAATTTTCCAGTAACTTGTAAATTTTCATTCAGCTTCAAAACAACCCACAATAAAAAGATTCATTCAGTTAAATTTTATTATTAAGCAGTTAAGTGCCTTGCTGGTCAAATAGGTAAGGCGCTTGAATTTGGTATGGTAACTCGAAGGTGGTCGGTTCGAATCCAGCCATTTCCAAATTTGTACTTTTTCAGAAGTTTAGATACTTCGACTGCTTAATGTACGAGATCAAGCTATAATTGGGCATTTTGGGCAACGTTGGATTAAGGAACGGATCAGGAACTTGAAATGTAGCGGGAAAAAAAGGAACGAGAGCTTCAAGATTACCTTATAATGGAATATTGTCAGAACGGACCTGAAATGTATCACATCACGCCCACAGAAGATTGAAACGAGAGCCTGAATTTAATCGAAACCTAGATTTGAAGATTAGAAGCTTGATTCTACGTCACCCATAGTGATATGAAATGTATCACTAATCAATGTAAAAAGTAAAACATGTATAAATACTAATTCTTCCGGACGGTAACGTCGACAAATAAATAATAAAATAAAATTAAGCAGACATCCAATCATGTCCAACAACCAGATTGATTATAAACAGCATTCATAAAAAATTAATCATTATCAACAAAATTTGTCAAATTTGAATTAAACAATTTTTTTTGTCTAAATGAAATCTTCACTCAACATCAATCAAGATGAGGAGCTTAACATGACATTATATCATTCTATTAAAACATTTCATGGTTCTTCACAAAACAGAATCAAAATTCTTCATTTTAAAAGCGAAAAGTTTGAAAGGATTCTTCATCTTATTTCCTTCCATTTTGGCACAAATCACTTCTTTAAAGCGTGTAAGATGAGAAGAAGAAATGAGAGAAATCAAATCAATCACTCGAATAAAACATTTGAAAGAAATCAGTGAGAGATGGCAGTAAAGTTTGCGAACAGAAAGAAGAAAGTCACTGATTTTGAATTTTAACGGTCGACTGGTGCGCTTCAATTAATCAACATTAAGTCAAATTAGGAATTTAGCACTTGGATTGGAAATTTAATTGTTTTATGGATGGATTGGTGCGAAATTGGAAGGTTTTGGGTGGCAATTACTGCTGATTTGAATGTTTTGTTGACATAAGGGGGTTTTGGGTATCTGAATTGGTGTCAGGGGTTGCCAGGATGGGTGTTGGAGGTGTCTGGTATCAAGAAGATCATCATTGTGTAAGGTATCAAGTATGGCAACAGATGAATCGAGATACAGGATGTAAAATGCAAGATTTCAGGTAAATCCTCAATTAACTAGTTATTTACCAGTAAGCTAGATAAATAAACTTAGAACTATCTTATAAAAATGCCAGACAGCAAACAGTCAACTTTCATCATTATTTCCTCATCACAAACTTCTAGTTTATCCAAACAACAGCAAAAATTACATCAAAATTGAATAAAACTTTCATCACTCCTCTCATTCTATATTTTTTATTAAATTTCACACAAAGTTCATAGCTTGAAGATGTTTTACGTAACTGCAACTGCCACTATTACAGCTCCATCAATAGAATATTTCATTAAATTGCTTCTCTATATACATTTATTGATACACTTTTCACTTATTTTCTTTTCAACGTAAAATATCTTCGAGGCTTCATATTACAGATGCTTTATTGTTACATCTCATTCTTGAGCCAACAATGGATTCGATGTTGAAAAGGTATGCAATGAATGCAATTTCGATGCTATTGTTATACTGTGAAATAAGTTATATACAGCATTCAGTCGACATCGTATGCGGTAAGATGAAGAAAATTATTTTTCAATAAGCTGTAGCAAAAAGCTCATCTTTGTCGTCATTATAAATAAATTTCACTTTACTTCCCTATCCAAAAACCATATCTTATTCTGCTATTCAAAAAAATTTCATTTTATGCCACGGGAATGTCAAGGAATGGGGATGAAGGAGCGAAATGATGGTAAACCAGATGCTTAAAAATGAAAATTTTATGGTTTTTCATTTTCTTTGGCGGAATTACGACGGGAAGGAGGATCAGCAAAATTTTATAGAACCGATTTATCTTAAAATATTAAGGATTCTCTTTTATACTTATTTAATGGTTGTTTTGGGTTATGATGGAAGTTGGGAGTCTTGTTGTATGATTTACTTGAACTATTTACTATCATAGACAAGAATTTGCATGCAAATTAAGACTAATCTGGGAAAATTTGAGTTTTTGCATGGGTTGATTGATCTAGGAGTCTATCTAGGTGCTCATATTGGGAGAATGTCAACTATAGAGACAGTTAACCACATATCTAGTTACCCAGACATTTCAAGAGGTCTGAGCTTGAATATATATGACTAGGAATATGATCTGTTTCGTTAATCCTTCAACAGTCTGTCCGTGATACACTGATGTATTGTAGAATATGAAAAGTTTGCCATATAATATAGTTTGGGATTTAAGTGTTCCGTCTCACAAAAAGGTCGCATTCCACTGTCCTATAGTGTACCTATACCAAACCCACACCAGGACTTCATGCTCTATAGTCCAATCATCAACATGATCAATTCCAGACATCTCAAATATTTAAAACACCCCATCCAAGCACCATTTATCAAAAAAACGTTTCCATGCTTCAATTTCTTTTCGTAAATAAAAATTTGTTCAGGAGATAAAAATTGGAAGAGCATGAGTGGGAATTATAGAGCAATGATGCCAAACCACACTGAACGAAGACGAAAGGAAGAAAGGAAACAAACAGCAACAACTTAAAAACTATTGAAATAGTAGAAGGAGCCAAAAAATGCATGCAAGAAGATATGCTTTAGGATGAAAAATAAGAAGAAAAAGAAATAATCAAGCAATGGTTAACCAATGCCAAAAGTTTTGCTTATGCTGCATAACAACTATAAAAGTATTTTTCAATTTGAATTTTAAATTGAGGAGGCAAATCTTATCGTAATGGCAATTATTCATTGCTTTTTTTACTCAATGTATGCCAAACTGGGATATGATGATGATGATGATGAAGACTGAAGAGGGGCTATTTACTGGTTAAGTTTGTTATTGCCTAAAGTGTAACGCAGTTATTTTTGTTTAAAAATTTTTTGAATGTGACGCTAAGAATGACTTTAAAAATTATATTTAAGATTGACGTAATTTATGATCAACCCTTCAACAAGATGAAAAGTTTAAAGAGCTTTTCATGGTGAACGGCAAAGAAGTGTATAAGAAAATGAGAAATCATTTGTAAAAAGTTCATTCCTCTTCACGTACACGATGTATTTTGCATACCTCTGTGTGATCCAGAAAAGTCTTTTCATTTCATTTCATTCATTCCTTATTCATGCATATTTTGCTTTCTCAAATGTTGATTTTTCCCATGCTTCCCCCCTTTCTATCCCTCGTTTGAATATATGATGATGTTGATAAAAGACAGAAAATGTAAACAACCATGACGTAGCAGGAAGAGGATTTAAATTTTCCTTTAAAGTTTTTCGTTTCAACTTTTTACTCGACACAATCAAAACATGTTGAGGGGGTCATGCCTAAATGATGTGAAAGAACAAGGAGGTTGTATTAGGTTTGACACTACATAAAATGTCCCTTAGTCATAATGCATAAATTTCTATAATTTTAAAAGACGTCATTTAAGAATGATCCCTTAAAAACTTGGAGACATAATGGATGTTTGCGGATCTTAAGAAAATTTAGGTTGAACAAATTTTTAATTCCTCTTTCGAGTTTGTTGACTTAAGACCTGTATTATAAAGGTTGAAAGATGAGATTTTGGGCACAGAAAATACTTTAAACTCATCACTTATGTTCAATATAAGAGGAAAATGGAAAGGATTATGCTTGGGGTCAATTAAATACATTAGATTCTTGTACATGTGTCAATGTAGGCTTAAAGGTGAATTTAATCTTTTCTGTTTTTTGGTTTAAGATTGATGCATGTTGGTTGGGGATTATAGACATCATACATTTTAATGGAGTAGATTAGGAGGACTAAGAGTAAGGATTTAAATTTTTTCCAAATCTTCTCAAATCGCCAGAGGAAAAAATCTTCTCTCAACAATATTTTTCTACCAGAAACACAACAAGCGCTAGCTCCCTCAAGACTTTTTCTTTAACAAAACTTTCTCTACAAAACTCATCATAATAATTGTCCGCCATATCAGGAGGGATTCTAAAATGAGTAGAGTAAAGTGCTCAAAACGTGAAATGAAAATGGTTAAGAATAAAAAGGATGAAAAACAATTCCAATTTAATGCTGATGGAAAGAATAAAATTCGAATGGGAATACGTTGCCGCAGCATGGTTTTAACTTAATCAAAATGATGAGAATGAGAATGTAAAGCAGTCTTCTTAGTAAGAGAATCTACATTTCCTGGTTTGATTAGGCTTTGAGATAATAATCATTGCGTTGAAGGCTTTTGCTACGCACCTGGTAGCTGGATTTTTCATAACATTTGACATTCAAATCAATTTGCACTAAAACTAATGACCAGCATGAAAGATTCAGCAAAATCACAGCCCAAACACCATTCAGCTCCTTTTTAATTCTATCAAAGCAAGACTAATTTATATTGACCATGATGGAAATCTGTTTAAGCCCCTCAACAAAACGGTTGTGAAAGAAAAATTAAGGAAAAGTGTGAATTTAAAGAAGATAAAAGGTTCACCTTAATTATGGAGCAAACAAGGCCTTGATTTAATCCATTGCTACTGTTGATTCTTGTTTTGGGATCATGAATGATGGGGTTTAAGAAATGTTGTAAAAAGTGGATTTGTGAATATTAAGGACTGGAAAGAATGCTTTGACTATAATTAATTTAAGATAATTTAATGTTGGAGTGTCGAAAAATTGTAAGAAGACTAATTTCTTGTTAGTGCTAGTCTTGAGATAGCTAGTTATGAGAAAGCTTGTCTTGAGAAAGCTAGCTTTGAGAAAACTAGTCTTAAAAAAGCTGTCTTGAGAAAGCTAGTCTTGAGAAAGCTAGTCTTGAGAAAACTAGTCTGAAAAAAGCTAGTCTTGAGAAAACTAGTCTTAAAAAAGCTAGTCTTGAGAAAGCTAGTCTTGAGAAGGCTAGTCTTGAAAAAGCTAGTCTTTGAAAAGCTAGTCTTGAGAAAACTAGTCTTAAAAAAGCTAGTCTTGAGAAAGCTAGTCTTGAGAAAACCAGTCTTATAGAAGCTAGTCTTAAGAAGGCTAGTCTTAAAAAAGCTAGTCTTGAGAAAACTAATCTTAAAAAAGCTAGTCTTGAGAAAACTAGTCTTAAAAAAGCTAGTCTCGAGAAAGCTAGTCTTGAGAAAGCTAGTCTTGAGAAAACCAGTCTTATAAAAGCTAGTCTTAAGAAGGCTAGTCTTGAAAAAGCTAGTCTTGAGAAAACTAATCTTAAAAAAGCTAGTCTTGAGAAAACTAGTCTTAAAAAAGCTAGTCTCGAGAAAGCTAGTCTTGAGAAAACTAGTCTCGAGAAAACTAATCTTAAAAAAGCTAGTCTTGAGAAAACTAGTCTTAAGAAAGCTAGTATCGAAAAAGCTAGTCTTGAGAATAAAAGTTAACATTAAGTATTAACGCAAATTAACTCCAACTACAAAATCTCTAAAGAATTTCAATAAATTCTGCCACTAAGCATCAACTCATCTTCAAGTCCAATAAATTGTCTTCTATAATCCCACAGCGGCTAATAAAAAAAGTTAACGCAGACATCTCCTGGCATTGTTTTTATTACACTTAGCGAATCTTTTTCGTGAAAATTTCAGCAATTATTCTTATGACTTGCTATATTTAACTTTGATAAATTCAAATTATTTACATCAACAATAACTTTTCAACTTCCAAGTTTCCTTCTAGCGTTCTTTGTCTCCTCCATTTTCGTCATTCGTTAATCATTTTTGTAAAATAAGTTGAAAGAGAAAAGTAAATGAAAGGAACGAAAAGGATGAAAAATTGGAAAAAAAGGGTTGAAAAAATTTCGCGACCTTTTTCTTTGTACTTCTTGTGCTGTATCTAACCAATTTGACCTTTTTTTTGCTTAAACATGAGAAATTTTCTTCATCATTCTTTCAATTTTTTCTTCTAACCTTGCCCCTCATCCGCGACATCTAATTACTTTTGGCATCAAAATCCCTCCTTCTTCTTCTTACTGTTCTCGATATTTTCTTTTCTCATTTCGTTAACACAAAATACTTCCTAAATGGAAGGCAAAAAAATTATTTTTTCTCACAACTTAATCTTCGTTTAGTTTTTTTTTCATCTCCTCCTCTGCAATCATCCTTTTCTGTCTCACATACACGACTCTTGTATGCGATATTAAAAATTTATTTAAATGATAGAACAAAGGCGAGATGAAAAAACTATTATATAGAAAAAAAATATCTCGAACGTAACACAGTCGGAATAATAAGAAGGAAAAACATGCAACAAGTTGAAAAAATAGAGGAGATGAAAAAAAAAATCACGAATGGCAGAAAAACTTTAAGAAACAATTTTCAACATGAAGATGGAGAAAGGGATTTAAAGGCTGTTGGTGCATTTTGTTCTATAAAATGAGGGAGGCTTAAGTGCTGCATTGAAATTGCTGTAGAAAACAGGATGTCTTTGGAATTTGTGATGTGTAATTGAAGTCAAGTGTTTTTGTAGTTGACACGACGAGTTGTTGATTAAATATTGATGATCTTTTATCTGTATAAGCTCAGCGAGGGTTAGTTTGTAAGCATTGACCTCAAATTCAAGATAGTAAGCCAAGAAGAGGCTTTAACTTTGTCTTTGATGTAGTATCCCGAGCGGCACAAGGTGGAGGGTGGTCTCCATTTGGAATCCATATGAAAGCCACCTCCACTATGTGGGAAGTAAATGGAGGGTTATTTTTTCATCCTTCATATTGATTCCATTTGGATTCCATATGAACTCCGCTTTTTCTTAAATCAAATACCGAAAAACTCGTGCTTTTGAATTTTTAAAAGACAGAGGTCAGATCTTACTGTAATGGATTAAAATATTGTCGAAAAGCTTTACTGAATCCTATTGCTTCATTTCAAGCTTTAAAAAAGCAAAAAAGGATAATTTTTTGTGATTTTGTATGAAATTACATACTTCACAAGCGCATGCAGAAATCACTATTATATGGGGTCGTTTAATTTGTATGAAAATTTTTAATAATTTCTTATGTTTCTCACGCGTGTGATCGAGACTTAGAAATTGCTGTGGTTGCGACTTAATTAAATTAAGTTGTAAATTTTTGAATGGTGTTAGTGTACTTTAATTAAGTCCACTAATACAGCTACAAATCTTGATATAAAAATTGCGAAACATAGAAAAACACGTGGAAAATCGTACCAAAAATCCTTTGAAAAATACTTCCATTAAACCTCCGTTTGACTACCACAAATGGATCCTCCCTCCTCCATCAAAACCTCTCAAATGACTTCCATTTGGTGTTAATAAATGCACGTCCCACGGAGGATTTTCGGAGCTTTGGCTCCGTCAAAGTTCCATGATAGTAAGGTTTTCGGAAGATTTTCAAATGGAGGGTGGAACATGGAGGCTCCGTATAGCTTCCATATGGAAGGCAAATGGAGCCTTTGTGCCGCTCGGGTATGTCCATTCTGAACCCTGATAGATTGTCATAGATTCAGAATTAAGACAATATATCTTTCAATGAACCAAAATCAACGTTTTTTTTGATTTCTAACCTCAAAATAAATCAAAAGCTCATACCAAGATAAAGACAACTCAGACAAATTACAGACTAAACCACTATTCCATCCAAAAGTCCAACAAACAAATCTCTTTGTGCAATTTATTTTTTGTTTAACTTTCCACAAATCTTCATCGCTTTCTGTAAAATACAGCAATGTGTACAAAACATAAATATCCTCCTTATTTTTCATCTGTTACGAAAGCACAAAACGAGAAAATCGACAGAAAATAGGAACAAGAAGAAAGCTAATCGATTGATTAATTTTACTTGACTTCCATGTCAATGGTAAGAAATAAGAAAGAAAATCGAAGACTGAGCAAATTTTATGGATTACTGGCTGATATCGAAGCTTGTTGTGTTGAGTAATTGAAGTCACTTTGTATCAAATTAATACATCCAAAAGGAAATCTCTCTTTCAAAGATGAAGTGACCAATATGGCATCATGAAAGCTTGTTTCTTACACTTTGCCATGTTGCATGTCCTCGTGTTAACAGGTTTATTGACAATTTGACATTATTAGTCTAACATCTTTATGTTTTGAGCAAATTGATTATGTGTCAATGGCAGTGAAGTTGATTAGCTCAGTTTGGGAGGAAAGTTTTCAGTTTATTGATTTTTTTTGTGCATTTTTGAAGCGTACGAGCAATTTTTGAAGTGAATGTTATTGAAGGGAAGTAAATTGAAAGTTTAACAAAGCTTTGTGTATGAGAATGACTGAAAAGTCTGTGAAAATTATGACTATGGCACTGTTTTATTGAAAATTCTCAATATTCTTGATCAAAGTCGTGCTGAAGGGTTTCAAACTTGTGTGACAACAGCTTAAATGAATTCCGAGCATAGCTATGAAGAGATTTGAGAGTTTGGTGTCTCCTATGTAGTGAATATGGCTTTTTTTGAAAAGGTTCTTGGAAAACATCTTAGGCATCAACCCGGTCTGAATTTTGAACACAAAACTGCCTTGGTAACTTGACAGTTCAAGTTAAACAACCGGATAAAAGCTTGAGTTTGTAGCCGAGTTGATTCAAAGCCAACAAGACACTTAAAAACAAAACAGCTGCGAACTCTTCAGACCTTTTGAAAGCTTTTATAAAGTTTAGCCAATTTTCAAGAATTTTTCATCAAAATTTTTGATTCAAGCTTTTTAAAAAGCTCTTAAAAAATCAAGCCCATTAAAATATTCCAGTTAATTTATTCTCATCATCATCTAGAATTTTTAATGAAATAAATTTTCAATTTTTTTCCTTTGATCCCCACGCATTAAGTTAAAATTCATTGACATAAATTTTCTCGTGCGTATCGAAGTACATTTTAAGAATATTTTGCACCTACACTCAGCCATTGTAATGTCGTTAAGGATTCATTTCTGTCTGCACACGTGAGCAACTTGAGATTTAATGATATCAATTTCAAAAATTAACGTTTCTTGTCTTTATTTTAATTAAACAAGATTAAACTTGAGCTCTGAAGGAGTTCATGTGATTTAATGAGTTACGCAAGTCAGCCTCCATTCACAAAAACAAAAGCTGGGTCCTTGGGAGTGAAGCAAGAGTATTATTTATTTATAATTAATGTTTCATTCACATTTCAAGAAATGTCTAGGGACACATTGTGCTGGAGATGTATTGTATAAACATTTTTAATGAGATTTGCGGTATTTTTAGCTTAGCGAAGTTTTACGGAATTTTCTACATGGATATTATGTGACGGATTATAATAACGTTGTTGATGATATGGATATGTTGATGTTACTTGCATATAATGTACGTTATCATGGAAATAAAGTCTAAAAACAGAAAACGAGGAAAAAACTTTCAAGGACTTCGTTGGCGACGTAAATCTTGCTCGGAGTCTTGCGAATCTGACTTGGTTGGTAGGACATTTTTGATAAAATGCAAGATTTTTGTCGCCACTTTGAGGGTTGGGGTACAACAGTGTAGGACTTCTTACATATATGCTTCAAACTTTTTAACTTTTGGAGGGATTCTGCATGTCTAATCTCCAAAAAAAATTAAATAACCTCAAATTTTAATTTAAGCCTTCTCTTCAGTAAATATGGTAAATATTAAGATACTCTCTCAACCTACCCCAAAATATTAAAAAACACGTCCCCACTCCCAAAATCCCCTTTCATGCGTCATCAGCAATCAACATAAATATTTCCAATCCATCACCATGACTCATGACTAAAACTTAATAAAAATAAATTCAATCATTAAATTTTTCATCAGAATGAAAAGGTCCGACAGCCTCTCATTCACCATCAATTTCAATTCAGACGATAAATTTTGGATTATTTTAACAAAATTAATTTATTTTTCAGCATTAAATTAACATTAAGCAAAATGAAAAGAAGGAAGTCAAATAGAAGAGAAAGAAATGACTTGAGAATGTCAAAGGCTGCAAGTCTTTGAAATTGACTGGAAGAAAAAAACTTGGGAGATGTTTAATTAGAAAAAAGTTTTCTATTTGAGGTTTGAAGGGAAGTTCAAGGAATGACTGATGTTGAGACTGTGAAACTTTAATTTTGAGGACTTAAAGTTCTTTTGCTAGTTTTTCATTATCTTCTGTTAAGGTTTGTGGAGTTTACTATATTTTTGAGTATGTTATGTATCCTGTGAGGATTCTTATTGTGTATACACTGTAAACCACTAAAGGACACCTAAAAATGGTAAATTCAAAATTCTCAAAAATAAATTTGAAAACTATTTTCTCAATATTGAAAATTTAAACAAGTCAATCAACAAATTAATTAAAAACGTCTATCCCAGACATTTTCAGGATCATAAATTTACCTCCTGAACAATTTTCTTCGACACATTCTATAATTTTCATCTGACAGGTGTCAAATATTTTGAAAC